TTTTTTTGTTTTAGTATTTTGAAGTTGACCAATTGTTACTATAAGCAATTAATGATTATAGATGATCTGCACCGTAGCATGGTGAACATAGCGTGATTGGCTAATTTTATTTTGTGAAATGACGATCATTACCGAATAAATTTTTATTTAACAATATAAAAAAATGATAAAAATACATTTAAAAAAATAACATATATAGTTCTTAAAATTTTGAATGATAGTAAATGATTATTTAAAATTGAATCTATATTAGAGTCTAAAGAAATACTTTCATCATCATTTGTTTCAATTATGTTATCTTCTTCATTTTCTTCTAAGTCCAAATCGTCAAAAGAGCTGACACTATTTTGAAAATTATTACTATTTTCAATAATCCCTTTTTTTAGTAAATCATTACAATAGTGACATTGGCTTGAAAGATCCAATAAAAATTATTCATAATGATATGAATGTCCACATGCTAAGGTACAACCATAAACATGAGATAGCTCACATTCATCCAAATCACAATATTTATCAGTTTTTGGAGGGGAAGAACTATTCCAAGCTAATGGGAGCATTCTAACATCAACAACAGTATCTAATGTTGGAAGCTTGTATGGAATTTTATATTTAGGTTTTTTATACTTACCTGATGTATCAATTAGGCATGTTTGCCAAAATTGGCTCTCTTAATAAATGAACATTGCCTAATCCAAAATGCCAAAATAGTTTTTCATAAATGCCGAAATTAATCTTATTAGTTGCTGAAATTATATCTGAAATTATTTGAACACTTTAACTAAATAGCCGAAATTCTGGGTAGTATTTTATGCCTATAGATATAAAGAATATTGTAAATCCAAAATTGCTTGCCGAAATTGTTTTTTTCAAAATCCATTTCAGCTAACATCCTTAGTATCAATAGTATTTTTTCTGATATTGCTATATACATCTGTGAAAAGTTCCAATAGATATACTGCTACTCTTTTTTTCATTAATTCTAATTCTTTTTCATTATATGTAATATTATGGGAATCTGAAAATTTTTCCTTAAATATATTAGAACCATGTGATTGATCAATGATTTTGGCTTGTTGTATAATTTGTTCAGCTGAATTTGATGCATTTGTTTGAAGGCGTAATGAAGAATGGAAATTCTCAACATAATAGTCATTAAATAAGTGAATATTTTGTTCAATGGTATGTGCCATTGGATTATGTGTAGTAAACCAATAAAATACATCACTAAAAAATGCCAATGGCACTTTATTATAATTTTTACTACCATACCTATAAAAGAACACCTAAGCACAAAACATTGCTTCCCTGTATGCAGACCAACTTCCACTTCGAAATACAACTGGATAAAAATCTAGAACCAATGGTATAATATTATCTAAAAGGTCTAGCAAATACCTTGCCTCAGGATCCTTGCAGTTATGAAATTTAATCAATACTTCTTCTCTGATTAGATTCCATCCAGAAGCAGTCAAATCAAGCAATACATTTATTTTGTATGGCTTTGGTTTATTTGCAAATGATCTCTTTTTTTAGGTAAAGAAAACAATTCAATTTGTTGAAAAAAGAATCGTTCAATTTGAAAACTGTTTCACAACTGTTTAATGAGACATGTAAAGGCCCGTTAGCAACCTCCCGAGTTTTGACAACGTTAGGATCAGATGCTTCAAAAAGAAATGTTGGAATTTCTGTATGCCTGGTAATTTCTTAAATAAATTCCTGAGTGTTGAAAACTAATGCACTGAATGAATCAAATGAAATTTGAATGATTTGAATCACCCAATTTTTGATTCATTTTACTCGAGCCTTTGGTTTGACTTGGTTCGAAATATATACCAGATGAAATAATTTGAATAATAAATGTAAAGTTCCGAACGGTTTGGTTCGGTTCGGCTTAATGCCAAATCCGAATTTTTAATATTAATATTAATATTAATACTAAAATATCACCAGTGATCCTTGAGAGTTATCACCACCAGTGTTGGAAATTCAGGGTGCGCAGGGTGCGCGCGCAGCATGTTACACCAAAATTGTGAAACATTTTATGTGCAAA